ACGTCATTTATCTTTCTACGAGAGTGTGGTAATTCCAGCCAAGCGGCTATATGTTCCAGTTTCTGGACAACGGACCGAAGGCCAACAGTATTGATCAACCAAAGGCTATGCAGTTCTAACAGAAATGATGTGATTAGTTTATGCCCCTTTACCAATGACATTTATATTTGCATATTATTTAATCCCATTGACTTCTTTCTGTAAATGATCCACTACCTCTCTTTCATTCGCCCGAACCGTTATACAGTTGCCAGTGCAGTTCCACTTTTCATTTGCAACTGCGATTCGTGATTCGTGTCTAGGCTGGCGCCCTTTCGGTTTAGAACTAGTTTGCGATTGTCTCCGTTTCACACATCGTGCATCAATCGATCTGGACCCATTACACTGTCTGACTGGTTCATGTATTCTGATATTGATCTCAAGAAAAACTTCAAATCTGGATTTCGCGCCTTTTCCAAAGCTCCATGTTTGGCAATGTTTTGTTCTGGAGTAGGCCGACATCTATGGTTGTTCAAAGTCACTGAGAATGACCTGAGCATATGATCATTGTTATCAGAGTATCACATGACCATAGATAACAGCAGACAATCGAACACTGGCTCATCACGGTTACCAGCTATCATGCGAAGGTAAAATCTGTAATGCCTAGCGCACGCGATCCTGAAAGAAGTTAGGTATGTGAGTTACATGGGGCACTACACTTTCGTTGCTGGTTAATATTTTTTGAGATATATTATCATAAGACCACAGATGATTGGATCGAATTTCGTATCTGGGTTTTTTGTCTGGTCTCCGTATTGATTCTCAAGATTGATGACGATCCTACAGTTGAGAGTCCAGAAAATCCAGAAGTCTAAGGGGCGCACCACTAAGTGTAGCAAAAGTCGATTTAGGGTCAAAGCGGTTTCACTTGAAGTTAGAAAGGTATATAACATCCGTGAGACTTTGCATCCTCAAACCGCCAATCCGTTCACATTTTATTGTATGGGCGGTATTGTTTTGAATATTTGGTCACTTTTGACATCCAGATAACAACTAGTCCGATCGTGAACTGATTGAGAATTGAACGTGTATGAAGATACAAATATGTATCTTGGTATTCTTTTATCCTGACATACGATTGGTTCCGATTAACCGAAGTCTGTGTATCGATGTCTTAAGTATCTTCTCNAGTATTCACACTCAACTTGTTTGAATTGTGAATAGTGATGTTTTACAAGTCATGTTGATGGTCATCCTTTAGACTTCGTTGCCTCCCACAATCTACAGTGCATCCAGTCTGCCATGCGCTTGGTAGTTACTGGACTCGAGTTTTGCTCTTGTGAGGGCTTATGAGTAGTGCATGCATGTCCACTGTTCCGTCAGGTTTTTGATAACAATGGACCCATCGCACAAAGTGCGTATGTGCCTTACTAATGTGTCGAAGTAACTGACTGATCACCATTGAAGATCACATTTGAATAATCATTTCTGGTTAACACTGATGTGAGCTGGTTTCGCAGTTCAAGACCCAGACGGGACGGTGGATATGTACTACTGATAAGCACTAACGAGAGCGAAACGTGACCAACGGATAACCGTATTACGTCTTCTAGTTATTTTTAGTAAAAAATTATAGAAAATGGTGCTAAGTTGCTTTCACTGAGTTGGTAATTCATTTCTTCCTCAGTTGATATAATAGCTAACTTCATTCCAACGTGCAGTTCTTAGTTTATACAGTCAACCATAGCCCGGATAGCCCTACTGTCACCATTGTGTGAACTCTTCCGTAGAGAGTACATTGTGACGGTCCAATGCTAAGAGACAATGCCATCCAAGTAGCTTCGTGTTACAGTTTCACTATAGTCAATTAGAAGCCAGCATTATGAACCAATCAAATTCGCTTTGTATGATGATGACCAGAAGAAAATGAAAACTGATTTGGTACTGCGGTGGAAATGTTTGTGATAACCGATAAAGTGCACTGGACAGTTGTTTCGTCCCGCTTGGGACTTGTCAGCAGTGCATACTTTTTTGTCCCTATCAGGACTTGAACCACTAACCTTCGGGTTGGGACATCAAACCCTTACTCCTGAGCTACACGGTAGACGATTATCGTCTTGTGTGGATGGCTCCATCAATATAGATGGCTCAATTAAATTGGATGGCATTCGAATAGTGCGGGATTAAAGATCTCCTAAGGAGTGAAAATAACACCCAGCATCAACAGTGCTTGGTACCTGCGAAAAGCCGAATGATTTGGTAATGCCTGCTGAACGAATGGCTCTTTTTGAATATAAGCTAACCGTTGTTTTCATTGTCTTCTTCCCGTGTCACGCTGTTCGGGCATGCCGGTAGCCACTTCCAAGTGCAGTTAGCTTTTTTATCGTTGAGCGATTCGGGTAATGCGTACACTCCCAGATCCGGCCGGGATTTGGACTCAGAACCCGTTGCATATGTGGCGTTTGTTTCCAATCAAATCACACTGGAGTAGACCAGAATTACTTATCCAAGTTTGCTCCAAAATCGTATTTGATAACAATCGATTGATCAACCAGGTCGGGAAAAAACAAACAAACAACAATTCGGAAACTCTACGGAAAATCTTTGTACCGCAGTAAAAACGGACTGACTGTTATTGGTGACGCAAGGGAACAAAGTGGAATCAGTGATCCCGACCAGTCCTGGTAGGATCCGTTTAACAAATTGGTAACATTCACACTCTATTCCATGCGACGTTTTAGGTTTTCGAATTCCAGTCGGGCTGGGGTTATGCGTTGGTGATGAGCTCGAATAAGTGCAATACTAGATTGATTGACTGAGTGAGATAAGGATTGCGTCCGATGTTGACGTCTGAAGGATGACTAACCTAAATCACTAGCAAGTATTCCACGCCGCTATTTAAAAGCAATCGTGAGTTAAAAGCCGTCAACATTTTTCTAGTGCAATAGCTGAATGAATGAGCATAATGGAAGTAAAATAAATGGAAAACAGCTCTTTGGGGACTGTATAAATATTCGCCAATCAGATATCAAATGCCCAAAATAAAGGCCTCCGTTTTGCCTGAATAAGGGAAAAAAATTAAACAATTACTGTAAGAAGATTCTAAGTCTGACTCGAAAAATTCACTTTTCACGTATAATGGTTTCACTTTTCCTTGTTTAACCTCAATAATACAGAGTCAAACGACGCGAGTGTTTTTGTTCCACGACTACTGGAGGCCTCGAGATATGTGGTCGCATGCGGGATATCGTATGAAGTATTTCGGGATAAGCCACTGGTTCTCCGAGCGACACGAATCGTTCACACTATCATCGTTCTTATCGTTGAATCTGAGTGATGTACCCTTTCAAATGATTCACTTGCAATTGATTAAAAGCCCTCAGGAACAAAAGCAAACCTCATTGGAGGGGACAAGAACTTTTGAAATGCGTGTGAAAAATGTAAGTCCATTGCTCCAGTGTATTCGATGTTTGTGATTCTCTCAAAATACAAATATCGACAGACATCCGAAATCCACCCAAATGACCAACTGGTTGACAGCTTCTAATACGCAAGTTCGTTAGTCCCAGGTCATGAAATCCAAGTGTATGGTGGATGCATCACAATAGCACACACGTGTACGCTCTGACGAATAGGTCTAATAAGAGCCGATCACGTGAATCGGAAAATGAGTGGGAGGAATAATCAATGGCCAAGCTGAAATTGCATCTGGGACGTCGGTCTTTTCCTCAGTCCGAGCAATGTGTGCCTCAGTAGATAAGTGGACAACTGAAAGTCAAATCCATATAATTGTGAATCTCATTACCTAGCCTAATTGCTGGTTTGTACAAGTGCACACCATCAACGCTGATAAAACGGATTTGAGAACGCATTTTCTCGATAAACAGGTCTGGGATGTCACTAAAATAACTGCAAGTTTAATAATAACAACAACATGTTCTCAATTCACGCCGGCCTCCCTGCGTAGATTCAAGTCTCGCTGAATTTAATAATCATTTTTAATGATTGGGTTCCCAGAAAAATGGTTTGTACAATGAGGCCATTGACAGTGTCAGCAGTCAATGACAAAATATCGATGCTGTGTTTAGCTCCCACATGCTATACAATAATGATGTTAGTCCGGCTATATATTTGATTTCGTCTTACATACAGGAAATAAAGTTTTTTCTCTAAATTGGGGCCACGATCAATACAATATCAGATATGAGGAATAAAAGAAGTGTTACAGCTAACATAAATCTCGTGATTTTCAATAATCCTGTTTCGCAAACGAAAGAAAAACGAAAACGAGTACTGGTTGCTGTTTTAAATTGTTTGAGAACGGAATGAAATTATCTATTGTTGTCAAATTGATGATGAGGATAGTCCTTTCCTGATATCTATTTTTATATAACCTTTTGATATTCTATAACATGACGCTATTCGAAACGTTGTTAGCTAGTGCACTGTCTGATTACCGGGAGTAGCCTTTCTCAAAACTGATTTATAATTCGACTGTATTTTTCTCATGATACATCATGAACTGCGAGTTAAACTTGGGTTTTCGGAAGAGCAATTGGTGTCCGGTCCGGAAGTGTGCATCAGAGTAACAGAGCACAGTTCATGTATTGGGTTTTAGTTTGAAGTTTGTGTCCATTTGGAATTCATCTATCGTTCGAGATGAGGAATGGTACGGTGCACGATGTTAATCAAGATTTGTTGAAAGTCTTCAACTTACCGTATGTTTGTCCAAGGTGGACACAAACCGAAATACAACAAAAATGTCTTTTCATAGATAATGCAATTTAAATAAAGGAAACAAAGTATACTCTTACAAAGTTTTTACGGTAAAGAAACACATTTTATGACCATGATGACTACAACTAAAAAGGTATGAATTGAGCAGATTATTTAGGATAAAAAGTTTTTATTGAGTTTTTTCTAGGAAAAACACAACTTTTACTGAGTTAGGTCATAATCTAAACGAGTCTTGTATCTACAGCAGCCAACCACGGTTTTCCAACTCTCTTCTTCCACAGGTGCACATCCCAGCAGAAGATACTACTTATTGGTGCAAAACAGCCACCCTACCGAAATTCAATCAAAAGCACCACATTGTTCGGGTGAGTTGTATACTAGTAACACTAAACGTACCAAGTCATTGTACAAAAAAACTGGCAAAGTAAGAAATCACTCATGCAAAAATATCACAGAAAAAAGAATTAGGGCAATGGGTTCATAACACAACCAGCTGACTGATTCGCATGTGTCTCATTTAGTTTGAACAATCGTGGCCCATATTAAACCCCCAACAAGTTTGCTCTTGGTCTGTAAAGACTGTCAATACATCTGATCGAAGGGATGACGTTAGAAAACCTAACCTTGGAAGCAAAGTAACTTGTTGCAATGTAGGTTCTCATATAACGATCGATAAGTTCCTCACAGTATCCAATTTTTTGCAACGTTGACTTAACTGTTGCCAGTTCATCATCCACCGTGTTAGTAGAATGAAGTTTTCTTACGCGATCGGTTATGTACTGGATTAGACTTGGTTTATGCTGCATGGGGACAAAACTATAATAATTGATATCCTGTCCTTTCCACGTATTATTTCTATGTATGCCTCGTCTGAGGGAGCCATCGTCGTGGCCTGACAATTAAATAACAGGAAACGCCATTCCTTGAACAGAATCCATCTCTAGCGTGAAAGTTATAGTATGATGAACCCGATTGAAACTGTCCAAAAATGTTGAGGGATTTTGTGAATTGTCAATAACACAAATAATATCATCAACATAACGCTTGTATAGGACACGCCGTTCCATACAGATCGACAATATCTCATTCTCCAACTTTGCCATAAATGTCTGCCAATAAGGGGCCTAAAGGTGAGCCCATAGCAATTCCATCTTTTTTGACGATACACGCAGCTGTTGAACTGAAATTGAACATTGACAGTGCATTGAAGAAGGAGTTTCCTTAGGCAATCTGCCGGAATTCCGATATTACTATGTTTTCTTTTAATATTTTCACACAACTTCCATTTTGCACATATTAAAATTCTGATTTTACTCTCTCCCCGTTCTATTTCCTTGAGTTGTGTAATGTACTGTAACTGACCAGTAGATAAAGCGCTGAAAGTAAGCTTGTTCGCCACATCTCTGCTTTTCTAGTGTGAAAAATCGATTATTATGCATCCGCGTGTGAGATGTGATTTTGATCATCTACGCTTGTCAGATGACGTGAAAATCAACCCCCAACAAGGCCAGATTCACGTGCTCTATTAATCATGACCCGCGCTCGCCTCGTCCGTGTTTTCCGGCCACGAATAGTTTTGTGATTTTCCTCTGTAGGATTTCATGTGAGCTGAGGGTCTGCTCTTTCCTGGTATTATGAATTTCTTTAGCACCGATCACCACTCACAATCTCACTGCATGTTTGATCGACTCTGCAGTAAAGCGTAGTTATAACAAAGTTAAAATGCCGTTTAAAACTTAGTCTTTCCAGAACCTTGGTAACTCTTCATCTGAAACGTTGTAGACCGCAACGTTCGACAATCTACAACCAATATTTTTTCATAATACTTTTTTTTGTGAGCAAAAATTATCTGCGATAAAGGTAGTACATTTCAAGATACTGGCCAGTTTGATTATTTTCTCTTGCACCAACCAAAAACCAAACCTATATTAAGTGGTGATGGTCAAAGGGTTGCGGTTACCACCTTATCCGGTCGGGGGTTGTGTGTTCGCACCCGGCCATCATCANCTCACATGACACTCCTTGCATTGGTGAGCTGCATCGGCCGAACTACGAGGCAGTGGTTAGAGAGGATCGGCGAGCCCTAACACTGCAGCAGGTTGTGACACGGTCAAACTAGGATAGTAATCAGAGGCAGTTCGGTCCAACTTTAGCTTTCTACGGGCTTCACATGAAAAAACCACAGGTGTGGCATCAATGAGCTGGTAGCGAAGGTTTGCATGGAATCACATGATAAATCACGAAGGAAAACCTCGAAACGCCCTTTATTCCGAAAAAATAAGTTTGGCTAATCATGTGAGAAAATCTTCACCTAGAGAATGGAAATTTATGGTTAAATAAAACGAACAGAGATCCATTTTATAGTGAATGAGATACGTTTGCTTTTGATGGTGAAATGGTGTGCGTATGTTTGCGTCTCCGGTTCAGTAAGAGTATACTTTTGAAAATTCTACTCACCCTTATCCCGCTCTCAGCTTTTGCCCAAGAACGACTAAGACACGTGGTGTACATAGCGGTTTCCTGGTACAACACAGATAATATTTTTATGTTCACATTATTCGACCGTGCAATTTTACCATCATGTATATAATCGGTTGTATTGCCAGCTGCGTTTGACGGAGCAAACCAAGTGTCAAGGTCATCATGCATAATAGCACAGCTGAGTTCAAGGTGTGGGCGTGTGCTAACACGGGCGCACTCTGTTATTTCCTGTTCATTTGTTGACTGGTGAAATTCACCAAGTGGAAAGTACTTTAGAATTGACCTTAAGGTTCGATGTCTCGGACACATCTCCGATCCCATCGACTTAAGGTCAGTTTGTTGATGACCTTCAAACTGCTTGACATTGACATTGGAAAAAGAAGATCAACAAAAAAGTTTGATTTAAATTGTGATGTATTAGCCTGTAGAAGAATCACCGCAAACGAGCTTGTTCGCTACGTTGTGTTTTCTCACAATGGGTATGGATGGTATATTCGGACAAGAAAAAAGTAGTCAAAACAGTAGTAGTTAAAGAATGAAGTTGGTGCGCCAAGATATTCTCAGAAACTAAGTGCTAAATTGACCAAGCATCAGTTAACTGATGGTTCTGTGGAAAATGCAGGGACAATTAATTTCACTAATTCTGAGATAGCACAATTCATGTGGCTAAGAATGTTTTTTGCAAACGATCAAACAAGGCTACACATTTTTCCTTCATTTTGAAACTCCGCCTCCAGTCCTTTGGCTCGACTGAACTACCAATGGACAGCCGATCACTTGCAATTTGAACATGCACTGTTTCAGCATGAACCCATACCAGATCCAATTACGGTCGAAATTGTTACGTCTGATCTCGGTTCTCTTGAACTGACTAATATACGGGGAAATATTAATTTTAAGCGTATAATATTGACAAAAATCGGGTGAATTTGTGCAGCGATCGTTTATACCTTTCCACATACTTCAATAGTTGGGATAGACAAGAATCACGAGGTACAAAGAGCAACAACCACAGATGAAACACAAAATCGTATTCCAGAATCTCCGGTCACCGCGATGCAGGACGACATCCACTGATGTAGGGCTTCAGTTATTGAAATAAATCGATGGGATTAGATAATATATGAATAGGAGTAACATCGGTGTAATCTGAGTCTCAACCGACTGCCGTTCTTGTTCTTTGAGTCCCAAGACTTCTGTTTGAACTATATGCCTTTGAACGGTCGATACTATTGGTCTGTTGTATATTGTTCACACACCGGAATGCTCAACCACTTGACTGACGTTATATTGGAGAGTTATCACCACACTCTAAGAGTCAACCCATATACCATTAGTGAGAGGATAAGAATTTGCATTTCTGGTGCCGTAGAACCAGAGATATTTGAAAAGCTTGAGCTCATACCTCTGTTGTGTAAGTGCATTGTCACTGTTATTGAATGGGTTTGAGGGCAAGAGTCTACTTGAATCACTGCTGCACCGAAAAACCAAGGTTGAATACTGCCATGTATATGTTTATATGTAGTTGTTTACGACGCTTGGGCAAGGCAACTACTGGCACGGGTTGAAGGTCGTGTACTAAATTCTTCTGGATATGGATCTACTGGACACTCGTCTAGTTTGGCAGTGATTGGAACATTCAAAGCACGGAGGGGGGTTTGGAATAAGCGAACTGTATGCAAAGGCGGTGGGGCAATCACATGTGTCGTCAAGCAAAGCTACCTGGAAAGTGATGGTAGGCAATCATTGAGGGTGTATGAAACAAAAACTTGGATTCGATGAACTACGGTCACAGTGTTTAAATTCACACAAGCACACTTGATCCGCGCTACCACAGGGTGAACAAGAAATGTGAATTTATTTTGATTTACTGCACCTATCAACTCTGTGAGCCCAATATGCATCTTTGTTCTCTAAGCCTCTGTGCTATCAGAGTGGTTTCGCGCGCGCGAGAGAGATAAATATTGATTATATTATTAGAAAAATTTACAGCAGATGTTAGGACACAAAATCCGGAATGGGAATGATAATTCCCATTGTTCACTGAATATTCACTTCGTAGCAATGGGAGATCATAGAAAAAGAATTTCGGATATGAATTGCAACAGTTCGAGGATTGGTGACACTTTCCGAACCACCCAACAACGAAAACAACAAAAATAAGAAAGAACTCTTCTTACTTCCTGAAATGTACATTACAGCACAACTAGGCGAGCATATTCATCGAATACTACCGATGCGTTTGCCTTCCAACGCGGAGGTTTGCAATTCAGGACTCAACAAGGACAAAACAGTTGTTATTTTTGTTGCTGTTGTTGTTTGTTGGTCAGAACGAAAAATTCTACAATAAATACAATGTGTTTAACAGTTGGGGAATTGTCGAACTCTCAAGGAGTGTAGACCCCACCCGAGTCCACAAAATAACGCCTAAATCCGGTTGGTTAAACAAAACATGACATAATAAACAATAGCTTCTATTCAGAACTCAACCTCACGTGAACACCGAACCACTTTTATGAGAATACACTATCAATTGTCCCCTGTGTCACTCTTTCCCAGTTCGAACCTGTGATCACTCCGACGAGTGAAGGTCTGGTCCATCATATGGAGGTGTTCCTGTGCATTGGCTCGGAGGTTGCACATTCGTACAATGCACCGTGCAATTCGGAAACAAAACCGATGGGTTTGACCCATTGT